CCAGGGGCTTTCCCTGAACAAGTGGTGTCCCAAGTTTGGGAAACACTGGGCTATAGAAAAGTTTCCCAAGGAAAGTGGCAGACCCCAGTACTTCGCACAATAAAACTAGGCTGCACAATACACTAAAACATGAAGGGAACTATCTGTTTTTGGTAGATAGATGGTGTCATGTTTCCAGGGTTAACTGCACCTCTGCCCCCTTCCTGGTCTCTCTGAGTGCACCCCCTCAGGTGTCAGGCCTTGTGCTTTTACCTATCCTGAAATGGAATTTTGCAATGCTCCGACTCTTAGCCCATGCTCTGGGGGATATTACCCTCTATATCCACCATTCTTACCCATCAGATCTGGCTGAGTTTGGGCATGTGTAGTTCTTCCCTTCAGGAATCTGTGACCAGTGGAATACAGTGACAAAGCAGCTTTCTGAAAACCAAGATGTTGTTTATTTTGGCATAGGAACAAAGCATTTAGAGAAAAATGATTTTACAATGAACATTCTACATGCATGTCTGTCGTACCTAAAGTCTTGACATCCCCTGATGGTAATGTAGGCAGGCCTAAGTTCTTCAGATGCATCCATTCTGGTTCCTGTGCTTCAGCGTGGTTTTCCTGAACAAATACTGCCCTTTTTAATCAGAGTTCTTTTGATCTCCTGTATTCGCTGGCCTTTTCCTATCTTGATTCAAACCAGTTTTGTAGAAAGAACAGAAGTACTTGTGGCACCTTAGAGACTAACAAATTTATTAGAGCATAAGCTACAGCCCACTTCATCGGAAGCATAGAATGGAACATATAGTAAGAAGATATATATGTATACATACAGAGAAGGTGGAAGTTGCCATACAAACTGTAAAAGGCTAATTAATTTAGATGAGCTATTATCAGCAGGAGAAAAAAACTTTTGTAGTGATAATCAAGATGGCCCATTTAGACAGTTGACAAGAAGGTGTGGGGATGCTTGACATGGAGAAATAGATTCAATATGTGTAATGACCCAGCCACTCCCAGTCTCTATTCAAACCCAAGTTAACTGTATCTAGTTTGCATATTAATTCAAGCTCAGCAGTTTCTCATTGGAGTCTGTTTTTGAAGCTTTTCTGTTGCAAAATTGCCACCCTTAAGTCTTTTACTGAGTGGCCAGAGAGGTTGAAGTGTTCTCCTACCGGGTTTTGAATGTTATGATTCCTGATGTCAGGTTTGTGTCCATTTATTCTTTTGCATAGAGACTGTCCGGTTTGGCCAATGTACATGGCAGAGGGGCATTGCCGGAGACAACCTACAGAAACTGATAGTTCTGGCATTATTCCTTAATTCTTAAGTGTTTGCAGAGAGGTGGCCCTTTGGGGCCATTCTTCTCCTTCCCACTTGTTTTTTTCAGACAGATCTTTGTTGAGTTAAACAAATATAGTCATATGGAAAACACACCAATAACAGGGCAACATATAATGTTTATACATTATCACAGGGCAGCTCAAACTCCATCACAGATGGGATAAATGATCTATTTAGTATTAGCCACCACTAGCTGCTATCATTCTAGAATAAAGATACAGTGGCTTTAAAACATCAATTTTACCAGTACATTTTCATGCTCCAAGACATACTAACTCCAAAAGATAAAACCTGATGATCAGCAAAATGAAGAAACAAACATTATTCTTTGACATACACCTCACCCACCAACAGGCAGTGACCTATATTTCATTTTTTGGTATGCCTTGTTGTTTCCTCAAAGAAAATATGGGTGTGGGGTATAATGGCAGGTGACAAGAATAGTGGGACGGATAGCTGAAGCAATTAGGTGATTAGTGAATATAAATCAGGTTTTAAAAAACAGCAGATCTTTCAGTTTGAACTGTGCAGAGCTGTTTGGAGTGCTTGACTATGTGTTTGCTTTTGATAAAAGTGAAAAGGAGAGAGCTGAACACAGAAATAGTTAAATTAAATTTTAATACAGACCTTTGAAATAAGTGGAAGGTGCTGCCTTCTTTCCAGTGATTGGACAGGCTTGAAATCCCTGCTCAGCCACAAGAAATTGTCAGTTAACTCAGAAACAACAGTGCTATTGTTCAAAGAGCTCCCTTATGACAGTGGAAAGGTTTAGATTTTTAAACCTTTACGGGGCAGAAAATGAGAATCTCACAACATGTCACAGCCCTAAAAAAGATGAATAAAGGATGAGATCTTGGTGATAAATGTAATGGGAATAGTTTGTCACTAACTGGCAGTGGCTGGTACTCCTCCAGAATTTGGTTCACACAGCATCCTGCAAACCTCCCTGTAAATCCAGTCTGGCTTGTGTGCAAATCACAAGCCATACATTTATAACGGTTTGCACTTTTGTGAACACAAAATCCTGTTTTAGTGTTTTCACAAGCACAACTTTTGGTTTGTTGCAAACTAATAAGCTTTGACAACTCCCACTGCTACAGCCTGATGCCATCACTTTCAATAGCTGTGATGTCAAGATGGTAGAAAGCAACGAAAAAGCCAGTCCTATACATTTTGAAATACTGTAATTAGTAATTGCTTGGGTGGATTCCAGTTCCCATACACATGCAGTCTTCCTCTGACTCAGTCAACCCTTCCACCCACCTTTCTCAGCCTAAAACAATAATTTACATGCTCTACCCCCACTTTCTCCTCTCCAGAGACCAAGTGGCCTGGTCAATCTATTTTGAAGAACTTCCAAAACTATCATAACCCCCCTCTATTCATCAGAACCATTGGTTTGTGAATGTAGCAGTGTCACCATAGTTAAAGTTGTAACTAGGTTATCATTATTAGGCTGATTTTTGGCACACCCTCTACATTCCTTTAAACTGATTCTATGTACTTTGAACTTTGCATGTGTGGTCTATGCTGAAGGGATAATTTTTGGCTTAATCTGAGGTGAATCACAGAACTATTACTGAGTAAACAGTCTTATGGTAATAGATGCATTTCACTTTTTGAAAAGAATTCTAGCACTTATTGATTGTATGTCTCATATAAATGGATTAGCCTAGAAACGTCAAATTTGCTTAACTCAAAAGCCCTTGAAAATGCTCTAGTGCAAAGATTTTTGAGACATTGAGATACTTATTTCTGAAGTTATTCACCTTGGTAATAGGAATGAATAAATATTCTGACCGCTAGAATTTTATACAGTTGGCATATGTGTATAGGTTCTAACATACTTACAAACTACATATGGCTTGTGATGTCTTCAATATGCTGATGACATCCAGTTGTATGTTTCTCTCTCTTTTGATACAGGCAGTACAACTGAGTGCCTTTCCCAGAGTCTGGTGGAGACTGGTGCATGAGAAACAGTGAAGTAATTGAGGCTTAACTCAGGAAAAACTGGACAGATATTGGTAGGTTAGGGACAGCCACTGTAAGCTAGGGCAAAGATTATGTCTACTCCACCAATTGATGGTGTATTTCCACCATATGCATGTTCACACCTAGAATTCTGATTAGATGTCTAATTATCACTGGATGATTATCTTCCTGCAGTAAGGGTAAACCCCGCCTGCTGAAACAGGTAGTGTCTACACTGAAGAGGTACAGCACTTAGGGTAGAAATACTCTAAATTACAAATGTGGTAGGTCTGCCATAAATCCATTAATTTCAAAGGAATTACTCCAGAGTTACACAAACTGTATTGAAGGTAGACTGTCCCATCATCACATTTTGCACTGATGAAATCTGCTGTTGCAGAATGGAGAGCAGTGTGTTAGGGGCTGTGGTGAGAGGAGGATTTTTTATGTTAACAAATATTTTTAGATCAACCCATTACTCAGAATCTAATATTATTCTTACCATGTGATTCCTATTCTTCTTATACACTTTACCATCAATTAGCTATTTCATCATGATGCTACTGTTGGTTAGTCTTCAAGAACAGCGTGAATACCTTTTGATGGTACTTGGGAGAAATTATTTGGGAACACTAATTTCAGTTTGAGAACAAGTCTGGCTGTTGCTCTTGGGTTTTGGTCTGAGGACACAAAGCTGGGACCAGTGAGATAAAAATTTATGATGCTTTCAGAAGGAGATTGGATGTCACTCATCACTGACTTTTTCTAGCTAAAATAATAGGAGGCGTATTTGTGTAAAAAGTGCACTGGGTGCAATGTATGAAGTGAATGATTTATACACAAAACAGACATTAGGTTACACTCTATATCTCTTCACTTCTGGAAGTTACAGAAATAAAAAATATGGGTCACATTTTGCCTTTACACCTGTGTAAACCTCACTGACTGCAATGGGTAGCCATAGATTTGTGTGGGTTTAAGTGACGGTAGAATTTAGCACAATATTAAAGAGTCTCTCTCTCTTTCTCTCCCTCTCTCACTGATTATCTAGCAAACAATGATTTGAAGGAAAGTACAGATACTTCACTCATCACACTAGTTAAAGCCAATAGTATTTTTTCTTATTTTCTATATTAACATGTTTCTTTATTTCACTTTGTCACTATCTAGGTGCTAATAGGCAATTCTGGGACCTGATTTTCTACCACCAGCATTTTTTGTAGACATTTTTCCTCTGTAAAAGTAATTTTGGGGGCTAGATTTGAAAAATCGTTAAATCAAATTGTAAGCACAAGTGTCAGTGTCAGCCTTAATTAGGGTGAAAATGAAAGTTTTCAAAGCTGTAGCATGTGTTGCACCATCACTTGAAAGTAAAGATCAAAGAAACAACATCTGCCAATCTGCTCTGATCTCCACTCTCTGACTTTCTCATTCCTTTGAGTGTGCCCATCAGATTACTTGTGTTGCTGCTTTTGATTTTTTGTTTAACATTTGTCTGTACAAATGCTAAATTTTTTGATCTATTTTTATTGAGTCCATGAGGATCTTTAGAATCTCTATCAAGCTTGGTAAATAAAGTGATTTTTTTTCTTCCATGTTTTGTTGCCTCCTTGCTGCTCTCGGCTAAAGGCAGGAGCCCTTAGAATATCATTGAAAAAGAATTCAAATGCTGAACACCATTATTTTAGAAGGCATTGCACAAATGGCTTTGTTTTTAAAAGATATCATCCTGAAATATGGCTTCTCGTTGCAGCTAGTGTTGTGACTGAAGTGCAGTGGAATGTAAAACCAGCCCAGTTTAAATGTTTTTCATTTTTTAGCTCCTGAAAATGGTTTTGAAGGTATTTGAACTGAAAACATATTTCTTAAAAAATTAAATTCTTGAGGCAAAATTAATCTCTGAGGTAGTTTTTGGATTTGATAGTCTGCTCTCCCTGCATATTTGGATTGTGCTTGTTGATTAAATGTGTGGCCTATAAACAGGAAAAGCTGAGGATTCAAAGTCATGATGTACAGGGTGGACCTGAAGATAATTTTGGCCTTCATCTTTCACTTCCTTTTCCAGCTGGATGTAGGGAAAGGAGAATATTGTTTTAAGTGTAGTCTTTTGCTACTTCTTCCTTCCTGAAAGTAAGTTGGTGATTGGACCCTTTCATGCCCCAGCTGGCCAATTTACGAAGAAAGTCTGACTACCTCTGAAGACATTGACTTTGTGAAGGCTCATTGCAAGGTAGGATGAGGCTCCTTGTAGAGGAGTAATATTATTCCCTACAGCCAACTTTCAGAGACATGTAGAGGTAGGCTTGAACTCATGGCATGGGAGAATGAAATGACATGATCTTTTTATGAATCGATTCTACAGACGTGGGTCTCCCTGCAGCCTTGTTCCTAGATTGCAAATCACAACAGATGGTTAGTACGACTTAAACCTCCTCAGTTACATTAAAACGTGGTATTCAGCATAACTTTCTCTACTGAATTTTATTGAATCGGACTGTAAAGGATTAATGTGGGAAATATTCTCTTCAATTCTGTGAAAAATTCTGCTGCAGGTGCTACATTTAGTGACGACATATCCTATAATGGCCGTCTATTCTAATCAGAATGATATTACAATTTAATACTGAGGTTGCTAGATCGTCGTCCTTTGACTTGTAACTTAATTCCCGACAGGACTTGTGTTATTTTCCCACATCAATTCACTTCTAAATCTACCCTGATGGGTGGGAATCTTGAGTACTGTTTCCATGACAGTGCTACCTGTGATCTTTAGTATCATTATGCAATACTAATTCATGTACAAACAAGAACTGAGTTTAAAGAAAAAACTGTCAAAATTATTAGGACTTAACTGTACAGAGATGACCTGTGTCATCTTCCCTTCCAGAGTCATGGGACATTGTGTTGTGCTGCAGTAGCTATGGCATGTTTAAAGAAAAAAAGTTTAAAAATATCTACTTATAATTACTATGTGAGTATATGCCTCCTGGCAAATACAGGGCTATATGACTGTTTGAAGCTCTGCCACTGTTTGATAAACAATCTGAGTTATTCCCTTGTGACTTATGCTAGCAGACTCTTTAAAATAAACCACCACAAATTATTATTGCATTGTATTCTACTACAAATGAGTATTAATATGGGGCCACAAAGTATGCAACTCTATCAGTAGTTTTGGAGGCTGTTGTAAACCTACTACTACAATGGGGCTGTTACACTTTGGGGTGACCCCCATTGAGGAAATGTACTACACTGAGGAAATTCATGACCAGATGCACAAATTCAGCTTAGGCAGGGTCACGTGGCAGAAAATAGAGTTGTACTTTTGCCATCCTATTTGATCAATTGATTTTTCAGTTAGCCATTAGCTGAGGCACCCTCAGCATGAAACCTGTGACCTAAAATAGACTCTTCAGGACATTTAGGACAAATGCAGGAGAGCTCAATGGTGGGGATACATTTTTAAAAGGAGCTCATGGGACAGAAATCGAGACAAAAATTTACTTGATTATCCAAGAAGATAGCCACTACTTCTCTGGAGGGTCACATAACCCGGTTAACTAAAATATAGCTTCATAGAAGGTAACTGAAGCTTCAGTATGAAGACATTTTTAAAAGGAGCAATAACATTTACAACCTAGAGACTGCAGTTGCTCCTCCAGCTGAAAAAGTGACTCACACTGGAAAATAACACTGTCAGCCTTCTGCTAACAACCGGTATGGTTCTGCTACACAAAGGTGTAGCAAGGGTTCAGGGGCCCAGCTGTGGTTCCCCACTGCACAAGTGGGCCAGGCAGGGGAACATTGCATTGAGTTTACTTGCTATAATGATAAAAAAAATGGAGATAATGTCCAAAAATCAAAAATGTCAAAGATGTTTTCATTTTGAAGGCTTTAAAAAGGAAAGATTTTTTTCACTTAGTCAATATTTTTCACCAAAAATTGTCAACAACAATTTTTGGTTTAGAATTTTTAAAATTTTCTTACTTTTTCTCCCTTCCCCTTTTTTTCTTTTCCCTTGTCCCTTCTTTCCATTTCGCCACTGAAAAGGGAGAAGAAAAAGGGTGGGGGGAGGAAAACCAAAAATGGAAACTGAGAAAATGGCAACAATTTTCATTTTCCTGTTTCACTGAAAAAATAAAAAATATCAGAAGAATAATTGCGACACTTTCCAATTTTGAAAAAAGACAATGTTTCACTGAGAAATATTTTATTTGAAAAACTTTGACCAGTTCTAGTTGAAGATCCTCATGGGGAGTATTAGGGTCTCAGGACTACAGAGCAAAGGAAGAGAATTCCTTTCTACCTCGCTCTGACTGGAGATACAGTATTTGGGTTTTATGTACTGGATGAAAGGACTTGAGCCTGTATGGAAAATATTTCTCCTAGTGTTGATCACACACAGCACCAATTTCCATGTATACATCAAGAGCAAAATTGGAATCTAGAATAATTCTGCACCACATATAGCTATGGGCTATCCCAACAAAAATTAGTAGTTTACTAAAGCCTATATTGTAGCCTTTATGCTTCAATATAGAAATGAGAAACTAAGGTCAAAATCTGGAACCTATTTTTGGCTGTTATTTCAGTGCAACTGAAAAAATGCTGTATTTTTTTTCCTGCTGGGTAGACATGACAAACTGCCAAGTTCAAGAAAAATGCCTAAAAAAAATGTTGAAATTCAGTTCATATCTATATATTGTATGGTAACCTTGTTAGTGTAATATTGGTATGCACAATTCCAGAGGGGTTTACACTTAGAATCAGATATGGAATACAAATATCGTGTATGAACTAAGAAGATAACAAGGGTCAATTTTGAAGTTGCTCTCAAAAAACTGAGAGGAAAAATGGGCTCTATATTTGAAGTATGCACATGTATCAGTGATTCTACAGTCCTGTGGTAAACTTACAGGCACAGTGGGGCCATTACACCTTTTGAGTGAGGGCATTTACATGCATAATACCATGTATCTTGTACTATCATGTATTATAAGGGTTGCACAGAAATATAAGCCCACATATAGGAGAGCAGGACTGAACCTTAAAATAAGTGTTAAATAAAGTATATATCTATATAAAGTATTTGGTATATATATATATAAAGCACAGTATTTGAATGTCAACAAATAAATGTTCAGATATATGTTCCTGGATTTATGAGGTTTTTAAAGTTTTGATAATCAAGTTGTCTATAAATCATTTTATTTCTACTTTGGGGGGGTCATATTTCCCGAGTGTAGCTCATTCCTTAATAGTACTGAGAATCTCATGAAGGTGGCTAATTGAAACCCTTCCAGAGATTGTGTTAGCTTTGCAACCATTGGCTAAATGTCAGAGGGCAAAAAGCTGCAGTGGGGTCAACAGGGCAGAGAGCGGACACAGCAGAACAGAAAACAATGTAACATTTGTGGCTTCACCCCTGAGTCCCCTTTTTTAATGGAGAATTTCTTTTCCATTGAAACGTCTGTGTCAAATTCAGAAATTCTTTTGTTTTTCTTGCTTTCTACTGAAATATGTGTAATGTTCACAGTGCTGATAGTTCCATTCAGAGGGCTGTACTTACAAAAAATGCAGGCTGTTTTCACACAGAGGTCACATTCCTTACTTGAAAACAGTGTGGAGCGTTTAAAAAAAATCCATGTAAAAATGCTTCCCTCCCCATAAATTATCCAACTTTATTTTCCCTGATGTAACTGGAGACATCTGTTACGTGTAACAAGGGCTCATAAATCTGCAAAGAGACAGTGAAAAATGACCATTCCTAGATCTCACACAAGATACATATATCCTTTTCATACCCTGAAAAATGTAAATTTCCCAAACTCAGGGTCACAGCATGTGCAGTGGTCCATGTTGCAGGGAGGCTGAGACCTACAGAGGTACTTTATTGGGTGCAGTCACTTTCCTATCTCAGGATAGCTACTCACATTTTATTAAAAAATCAGTCAGAATAATTGACAGCAGAAGTTATTTTCATATGTTAACGTTAAACAACAGGAAGATCTGAAAATGAGATAATGCAGTGGAGTATTTTTTGTAATAGGCAAATTACTGTCATGGTTGTCTGCTTCAACTTTTCTTTTCACCAAGAATAATGTCTGGAAGAATGTAGCTGGGTAGTGCAAACAGTGTGTATTTGACATTTGTTTATTGGAGCAATATTTTGTTTCTCTGCTATGTAGAGAGATGAGGGACAGAGGGATTGTGCGCGGCAGAATCTTGACCAGACGGTTTTGGAGGTAGGTATACACAAAATCTTTATTTTATTCTTCTAGGTTCAGAGAGTACTTGTATGATTTTTTCTCAAGCACATTTTTGTAGTTATTATTTCTGGTGTCTAACTATTCATATTTAAGCTCGAAAGCTTGTCTATCTCACCAACCGAAGCTGGTGCAATAAAAGATATTACCTGACCCACCTTGTCTCTATAATATCCTGGGATCTGCAAGGCTACAAGAACATTGCATATATATTAATGTGAAGCAGACAGTATTAAGCCATTCAATAAAATGTAAGGGTAAACACTACCCCTGCTAGCACGGGTGGTGATAAAGAAAAAAAGGAATAAGAAGTCATTCTGTAGTATGCAAGCAGTGTTACACATGATATGGCTGCCAAACAGAATCTTGCCACATTGCATATCATGCACTGACAACTACAGCCTTCTAGTGTGACAAAGCAAACTGCATGGTCAAATGGAGCAGGCATTAAATCAAATATCAGCAACAAGCACTAGATGACACCACATGCTGCTTCTTTTGAACTTGATCCAAAGGCTATCAGTCAACGAGTCAATAGAAAGTTGCCCACTGATTTAGTGAGCTTTGGATCAGGGTCTCTAAAAGGAGTGGAAATATGCACTTTTCCATCCCATGCACAGAGCTGGTCTGAAGCACGGCATTCTGGTCTATGGAGGTAAGATTGCTTTAACGTAAGACATCCGCCAGTGTATCTATGCATGTACTGCTGCCAGTGCCACACGGACTTCGCACTACAGCCAGGTGCTGGCATTAGTAATGATAAATCTTTCTCCACAATTTCCTCATAGTTCACTTTCTCAGAATAATTGGATCAAAAAATGAGCTTCTCATCTTCTAGCTCATTGCGTCTTCTCTCCCTCCTTCCTCCACCTTTTTGACAACTCTATGAGGCTCCCTGTCATCGAACCTTGTCATCGAGTCCTCAGAAGATTATTTTTACTTCTCTCTTATCTTCTTCCTTCACATCCCCAGGCTCTCATCAAGTCCTATTGCTCTTAAACTCCCCAAAACTAAATTCCCCAAAATATCTTCCTCCACCTGCTTAAACTCCAACCTCTCCACCCTTATCAAGATACCTAAAACTTGCATTTCTAGTGTTGTTTTTTTTAAACAGAAGAGCTTCCTCCCCTAAACATCAAATCCTTCTTAAAACATCATAAAAAGTCCACTTATTTTTTGTTGGACTAGGCTTTCTTAAATCCTGCAAGGTTTGCTTCATAATGGCTACATGGACCAGCCTCTGCATCCTGTATTTCTAGGTGCAGGCACTGAACCAAGCAAACCCTTCAGGGTCTCTTCATAGTGAATTCAATAGATGATCTTAGACTGGGCCTACTGAGGCTTGTTCTGAGCTGAAGCTGTGATGAACTTGAACCCATAAGGAAAACCTTGGGTGTGATTTTGAAGGGCTGCTTTTACCAGAGCCCATGTTAGAGTTGGGTTGATCTCTGCTAAGCTTATTAGCATGCATGTAGGTTCTTTTGGTGTTTTTAATATGTTTTCTCTGTAGTGCTTTTACCTTAAGAATAAAATAGGCTTACATAGGAAGTGGTGTGTGTTACCTTATCATGGTGGGCAATCACTCTGTTATTAGTCTCTGAAGAGAAGGCAAGACAGGAATAACACAGTGAAGTCGGGGACCTGTTGAACATGGAAATACCCTGGTCAGAAAGCAGAGAGATACATGCCTCCACCTAAGAAAGGCAACAGACAAGGGAACCAGCAGCTTGAGATTTAGTGCCCTTTCTGTACCATAGAGAGGAAGCACAGGTGTGGTTGCCCTGAATTATGACAATAAATCTCTGTGTTTGAAACAGAAGAGCAGGAAATGTGCAGATGGTATGTGGCTTCTGTTTGTAGTTTTTCTTATGTCGTGCCTAAAGTGTGCAAGATGGTTTACCGACAAGTTTGAAGATTAAGGACTTGATTAACTGTAAAGGAACCATGACGACCCCCTGGAGAAAGCCTCTGATATAGGGGAGTCCTCAGAAGGCATGGCGTTGGTATAGAAAATGACTACAAGGCTGTAGGAAAGGGAGGATTGGGATAGTGCCAATAGTGATAGAGAAGGGATGAATAAAGGAGGGCTTGAGTGAAAATAAATAGGCTCATAAGTGCCCAGGTCCCTTTTTAAAATGGGACTGAAGTGCCTATTTCACTTAGGTGCTTTCAAAAATTTTACCCTTTGTGTTGGTCTTCAGTTCACATACGTTTCGTGGACTCCTTCAAGCTGAACCCACAGCTTAACCTCTAACAACTTCACTTACTAGGTGTGCTTATGCCAGGTAAGAAAGTAATAGCAACACGTGTTGCAGTGTGTGTTGTGTCTTCTTCTAGTAACTCGTCTACATGGAGGATAGTGGCCTACTACAGTTACCAGCTAACACATTTAGCTTAAGTGATGGAGGGTTCTGCTGTGGCCCTCAAAGCCATGGGTGGAAATCTTGCTAATCAGTTGTGTCATGAGTCTTTACATAATTTACTATACTGCAGTAAAACTGGGCTCTAAAATGCATCTGGTAGAGCCTTTAAATTAATATATATCAGTCAGTCCTCATTCTTTATTGACAGAAAAAAACTAGAAGCATTTATATTATTAATTGAATAAAAAATTAACTAGAAATTGGGAATCCTGGTTGGACAGAAAAAAAAAAAGACAGACATAAAATATGTTCCAATTTAATTAATAAACATGCAAATAACTATACCAAGAAATCTGTGTAAGGGTGCACTCTCTACCAGCCAAGAGATCTGATGAATAACATGTCTCTTTTTTCTGTGTGAAAAAACACTGTACTAATTCCCAGCACCACAGTAGAATTTCTTACTCTTATGTACCCTTTAAGGCTCATTAGAAGAGGCAGGAAACACACTCTGTGACTATTACTGATGTCAATATCAAGGCCATTGTGCATGTGAATATTGACTGCTGAGTACAGAGAAAGCCATATGATTATTTGGAAAACTAGACTTGGAAAAACTACTGCCTATTTTGGATGTACAGAGAGATTACCATTCATTCTACCATGAACTGGGAAAACACTATGAAAGTATTTTCAAAACTTAAATAAAAATAAAGAGACCTAGAATCAGAGTTGCTTGGATCAGAAGTAATTTTGTTGACACCCTACCCCCCATCTAAACCTTCTAAAATATTATAATTTTTTAGATTCTGTAATCAAAAGGAAATTACTTGGAAGCCTTAAAATGAAGAAAAAATTTTTTTTAGAATCTTTCAACAGCACTAGTTATGAAAAGAATCTAAACTGAGCAAAATGTATTTTTCCTTCCATAGCATGGATGAGCCTCAAGAGACTTCCTTCCTGTAAGACTGCCAAGCTCAGCATGATATTCTGAGATGCTGAGGAGCTTTGATTTATGTTTCGTAAGGATGTCACCTTCAACTACTGGGAGATATACTGATGGATTAGTGAGCGAAGGAAAGCTTTGTAGGAGGGCAGGACCTAATAAACAGAAAGTGAGCTAGGAGAGTATAATACTAATTATTGTTGACAGGTAAGCAGTGAAAAGTCATGTAAAAAACAACCCTTCCCTATAGGATATCTTGAAGGCTACAAGTCTTTGATTCCTGTCCATCATCTGAGCAGCGATGATGGGCAAGAATTTTTTTTCACACAAAATTTCACACAAATTTTGGACAAGATGGAGGTGGAGGATGTGAGGGTGCCATCTCCTCATGCTCCCTCCTCCACCTTTTCTGCTTCTGGGCCTGTTCCAGAAGGAGAAATTGTGGTTCTGTAACCTCTACAGTTAACAGCATTAATTAGCACCATTCAAAGCAAATAAAAGATAGAGAGCTACTTCTCCTGCTAAAATGGGTTGCAAATGAAAAACTGTATCTGACTGTGTTTCAGAACATATGCACTTTTTTACAGGTTTTGTAAAAAAAAACCCAAGAAGAAGGTGATATTTACACAGAAAAGTGAGAAATTAATTTTTGCACTGATTTTTCACCTGTTTTAAATTTTTTCTAGTTAAACCTATAAATTCCAAAATAGAAAGTGAAAACCAAGGGCCTTACACATCAGGTATCACTAATCAAGTAGTGTACTTTGTTATTATTACTACTGATCTGTTGTATTACAGTAGCACTTAGAAGCTCCCTCAAAAGTCCAGGTGTAGGTGTAGGAGCATGTTGCAGGGAGAAGGGAGGGAAAGCAAACGTGGGAGGTGGCGGAGGCCAGAGTTGAATCCCAGTACTTATGCCAGCTACAGGGATTCTCATTTGCTGAAGCTGTGGGGAAATCCATTAGCAACCTGTAGGGGGTTCCATACATTAGATTAGCTCTCAGAGCTGTCTGCTTTAGGTGAGAGGCTACTCCGTCTGCAGCAGCACATAATATCGTAGGTGTAAAAGTGGCATAAATACCAATGTAACCCCTTCCTGCCGGGGCTCTGAGTTCTGTGCACAGAAGGTCATCCCATGTTGAAACTGGGAATATTCAAGAAAGACTTGGAAACTGGAAGGCAAAACCATTTCCCTTTTATTGAGGAAACATCTGGAGAACTGGACTGTTTTCAAAGCTACTGCTGGTGATGGTTAACTTCCAAGATCTGGAAAACAAAGATAGTTGAACTTAAGTACCCAGCTGCAAAATATTGAGTATGATGGGATTAAACAGAATAATCAATCCATGCCCAAAACTGTATGTTGCAAACTGGGAACACACGGCTTGATTCTTCAGTCTCTTTATTCCTTAAAAAATAGTCATAGTTATGTTGATTCCCCTTGGCCCAATGTGTCCATGTAAACAACTGTTTTAAACAATAAACTTACTCAAGTCTGACATCAGGAATCAACTGATGAGAGTAGAATGTAAGATACAAAATACCAGACTAGAATTAAAAGTCCCCCTTCCCTCTCCCCTCCCCCACAAACAGCCCTGAAGAACAGAAGTCCCAGTGAGTGTTGCACAGCTGCCTCTGCATCTTGGCCTTCTGAATTCTTCTTTTGTAAT